CAGGATAACATATTCTGGAGGTCGAGGACTCGTGCTAGTTCGTCTGTGATGTACGACTGGGTGGAACCTGAGTCGAAAAATGCAGTAACAGCTGTTGTCTTTGAAGAGTTTGCAGGATTAAAGAGGGCTACGGAGGTGCACATGAGTGTGGCTTGTGAGCGTATGTTTCGATTCTGATGGGAGGGACTGCTAACTATTGGGATGATATTGTCCTCTTGTTGATGAGGGTTGTTTGTCGTTTCTTTTGGTGAAACACTAACAAACTGCTCGTGAGTTCGGAACGAGGAGGGGTTAGGGGCGAAGGAGTGGCCAGGTTGCGGAATCTCTCTTCCTGGATTAGACACATTAGAGCATTTAGGACACAGCGATGAGTGATGACGCTTGGCGCAGAATCTACAGGATTGTTTGGATGTGCAGTCCTTAGAACCATGTTGACTGGAGAGACAGTTGTAACATAGACGTAGTTGTTCTACTCGACGAGTTCGATCACGCGGGGTCGGGAAGGAGTCGCAGACGAGAGAGGTGTGATCGGAATTTCGACAAAAGGAACATTCTTTTCTCTTCTGTGTTGAATATGAAAAGTGCTGAGGCTTCGACCGGAACTCCACTTGAAGCTCGTGACTTGAAGGATAACGGTTCATGCATGCGTGATAATCAATCTCTGATAGTGCGGCTTCTTTACGGACTATATCGGTGAGCAAGTGTAGCAGTTCGGTCGGGGAGAGGTTGTGGCTATTGTTTGTCTTGTCATATATCTGACTACGTACTCTGGCAGGAAGTTTGTTAAGCAGAATTGCTCCTAAACCGGTCTCGTTTGAGTCATTTCCGTCTTCAGCAAACTGCCTAACTAGAGCAAACATTTGGTTGTACAGAGTTTGAAGATTGCGACCTTCCTGGTCACAATTCGGTAGTTGTGACAACTTCGTGTAGAGGATATGTTTCATAGTCACTTTGTCGTCGAAGTGGGTGGCGAGGATGTCCATAGCGATCTTGTAGTTGTTAGGAGTCATGGAGAGTCCTTGTATCGCGTGAAGAGCACGACCTCGCAGACAAGATTTCAACAAGGAAAATTTTGTCGTGTCATCGAGTTGAACCTTATTGCCGACTAACGTGGCAAACCGAGACGAAAATTCTGGGTACTCAAGGATGTTTCCATCGAACGTGGGAAGTTCCAATTTACTGAGAATAGAAGCATCGACGAAATTGAGCAGCGACGAGTTGACTGCTGGAACATACGGGAGCGTTGTCGTTTGAGAAAGCGTTGTGTTGGACCGCACGGGTCCACTGGACTGGCGATGGCGCTTAGCTTGTCTTCTGAGTGTAGGCGGCATCGACTATGGTGTGCTGTAATCTTCTTTTCGAAAACTCACAGAGAATCCTGCCGTGGTCGCCACTTGTTTTGACTTCTGCTTCCGGCTGCGTCGAACACACTGAGTCCAAAGTCGTTTATTGGGATAAACACAGCAGAGCAGAGTGGATAAACTAAACCATACTCAGCATGAAGGCATTTATACCGGTGATGTTTTGAAGGCAGACGGATAACAAATGGAAAACAATCTGTTTGTAACAGACTCCCAAAGCGAGAACAAAAGGCAGAAGACAATGATAACATTGATCACAAGAATCTGACTTCTTTTTGGTTGAAGGGCTTCCGTCGTTTTCATAGCTGTGTGAATGGAGATTGTTGCCGTGCCTTTGATCTGGTCACCATCGGGTGTTCAGATTCTCCTGTCGCTATCCGTTGAGACGGTGTTGACGATGGTTGTGAAGAAGATGGATGGACTTCTAGTTTGTAGACCATATTGTTAGGGCGTGTGATAATAGCTTTTGAAGGGAGTAGGATTTCGACTGATCGCAGGAAATTGTCTCGAGATCCGATGATGACTTCTGCATCTTATCACTCTATACAAAAAGGCAACTACAGATCAAGTTCATTCCCAGCCTAAGTCCTTGGCAAGGAGGTGCCTACGAAAAAATGGTCGATATTTTCAAGAAATCATTCATGCACATCATTCGAAATCGACTGCTTAATATAGAAGACGTTAGGACACTGCTGAAAGAAACAGAAGCAATAGTGAACACACTCGACCCTTAACGTACATCACCGATGACATTGATTGTTTCCCGTTAAGACCGATTGACTTCCTGCGACCGTACGCTCAGCTCGCCGGACCCAGTCCTCAAGAATACTCCTCTATATTGATTGGAAATGATTACTTTTGGGACATCGTCCTATCAGATGATTTCTACTACGAAACACTGCCGAACGGCTATCGTATGCTTCACACCAGTATCGGCAACATTCTTGTAGGCAAGTCTTTGAATCTGAAAAGTATTGCAACTTGCACTTCCTTTCATGCAGAAGGCGATCTCAACAATCCAGTACTCCACGACGAACTTTCTGAACTTGTTCAAAATTTTTGGAAACTAGAAGCAGTAGGAATAATGGACGATCCTACTCGAAAGGATGACGCTGTTTGTCTCCAGTTCTTCAATGACACTATCGAATACAATCCACAAGAAAATCTTCTTTCACAACCATCGTCAACACCGTCTCAACGGATAGCGACAGGAGAATCTGAACACCCGATGGTGACCAGATCAAAGGCACGGCAACAATCTCCATTCACACAGCTATGAAAACGACGGAAGCCCTTCAACCAAAAAGAAGTCAGATTCTTGTGATCAATGTTATCATTGTCTTCTGCCTTTTGTTCTCGCTTTGGGAGTCTGTTACAAACAGATTGTTTTCCATCTGTTATCCGTCTGCCTTCAAAACATCACCGGTATAAATGCCTTCATGCTGAGTATGGTTTAGTTTATCCACTCTGCTGCTGTGTTTATCCCAATAAACGACTTTGGACTCAGTGTTCGACGCAGCCGGAAGCAGAAGTCAAAACACTCAGT